GTCTATACAGAGAGAAAAATGCAGCACTTTCTGTGAGGAAGATGAATATTAGTTTTTATGAATTTATTGTTTGACATTGTGGGCCATGAGATTGCAGATTCAGTCGTAAACGTGGTTAGTATATAGTAATGCTCAGCTTCATATTAGTCTGCTTTAGTAATCGAACCATATTGCAGCGCCCTTTAACAAATTCTTTTTGTTTACAATCTCGCCTTAGGGTTATACAGCGATGCAGAGATTTTGCGGAACCTAGCCAATGGCCTGAAAATAGGGAAACGTTCAACATTGGTTCCATGGGTGCACATTTGAGAATTAGGAACTGCTCATTGCCGTTATTTTTAGGTGTTAATTGTGCACTCTTTTTCTGCTATTGACTGCATATAGAAGCACTGCACGTTACGTGGTTTAGGGTTTAGGTAAATGAACTTTAGAACAGGTAGAGCGTATGCTGAAAACATAATTTTTCTATGTTGATAAAAATCTTATCTTGTCCCAAGCCACTGATAGATAAGATGGAATATTGATCAGATAAGAGCGCAAAGTGGGAATTTCCGTCCTTTATTAGCTCCAAGAAACAACGACTTCCATGAATAATGTATAGATTTTTATTGTTTCAGTCTCTTACGAGGTTTGGTGATGGTCTGTTTTGCTTTTTGTGCGAGCGTTTTTGGATGCTGTTGCAAAACCACAAAAGTGCTAAACTGCTTTGAAGTTATTCTACAACCCCTCACCTATCTGCCAATCAAAGTATCTAAAGTTATTTATACCTTTTTAGCTAAAATCCAATGTATGGTGCATCAGATTAGAACTAGTAGTATCTGCTCTTTACTAAACAAAGTTTTTAAAGGCAGATTTGAAATGTTAACGCCATGTTGGTTTATTTGAGAACATTGCAAAAGATTTCACGACTTTAGATAAAACGAGTGTAACTTGCCAGATTTATGAACTTCTTGAAATGTTGTTTAAGGTGTCTTTGTGTCGGATTGCAATAGCATAATGCACCACGTAAGTTGAGGCACAATTTAAAAAAAATAAATTCCACTTTAATGAGGGATTTTAGTCAGCACCATC